AAAGGGGTTTTTCTCGGGACCAGGAGTTCGTTTAATGGGTTCGTGACTCTCCGAGGCTCCTGGCCAAGTTCTGCAGAGATCGGCCTGGCAGCTCTTCAAGCCAGATAAGGTCTGTGACCGTAAATCCTCCCTTCAAAGGCTTTGCTGGAGGTGAAGGAGCAGAATTCACAGTCAATTAAGAAAAGGGGTTTTTCTCGGGACCAGGAGTTCGTTTAATGGGTTCGTGACTCTCCGAGGCTCCTGGCCAAGTTCTGCAGAGATCGGCCTGGCAGCTCTTCAAGCCAGATAAGGTCTGTGACTGTAAATCCTCCTTTTGAAAGGCTTTGCTGGATGGGAATGAGCAGAATTCACAGTCAATTAATAAAAGGGGTTTTTTGTCGGGACCAGGAGTTTCCTTCAAGCTCTCGGAAGAGCTTCGGTCTTCCCACTAACCCCCTTCCATCTTCTTTCCCAGGGCGGAGAACTACTGGTGGCGCGGCCAGAATAAGCGGACGTTGAAGGTGGGGCAATTCCCACGCAACACGGTGACCTCCGTGGCGGGATTGTCTGCGCACGACATTAGCCAGCCGCTGAAGAACAGCTTCATCCACACGGGCCATGGGGACACCAACCCACAGCAAAGCTGGGGCTTCCCCGATAAGATTGATGAGTAAGTCGTAAGACGGGCGTGGTTCTTCTACCCTCTTCTCCCGAAAATAAGACCTAACTGGGAAATAAACTTTGGCGTGATTTCTTTTCCCCCCCAGGATGCTCGTAATATAATTTCGATTTTTAATCGTAGTTTTAAAATGTCCTAACAGTGGGAACAATTAGCCAGTGGAACAGCTTGCCACCAGGTGGGTGCTTCATCGCTGGAGGTTTTTAAAGAGATTGGACAGCCACATCTCAAATTGTAGAGGGCAGCGATGGCAAAACTTTTTCTTATTGTGTGCCAAAATTACGTGCCCGCTTGCCCACTCAATCCTCCCTGCAAATCTGCTCATGCGCAGGTGACCCCCATGCATGCATGCATGATTCTCTGCATGCACGCACAACACACACACACACACACTGCATAGGTGCATGGCCCCTCCCCAGGTCCCAGAGACTTTCCTGAAGCCTGGGGAGGGTGAAAACGGCCTCCTCTGGAAGGCTGAAAAATCAGCTGGCTGGCACACGGATATGCGCTGGAACTGACAGCTGGCGTGCCACCGAGGATGGCTCTGCGTGCTGCCTGTGTGGCACGCTTGCCATAGGTTCGCCATCACAGGTGTAGAGTCTTCCTGAGCAGGGGGTTGGACTAGAGGACCTCCAAGGTCCCTTCCAGCTCTGTTCTGATGGATTGAAATGGTCTAGGATCTCCTGCTTGAGCAGGGGGTTGGACTAGAGGACCTGCAAGGTCCCTTCCAGCTCTGTTCTGATGGATTGAAATGGTCTAGGATCTCCTGCTTGAGCAGGGGGTTGGACTAGAGGATCTCCAAGGTCCCTTCCAGCTCTATTCTGATGGATTGAAATGGTCTAGGATCTCCTGCTTGAGCATGGGGTTGGACTAGAGGATCTCCAAGGTCCCTTTCAGCTCTATTCTGATGGATTGAAATGGTCTAGGATCTCCTGCTTGAGCATGGGATTGGACTAGAGGATCTCCAAGGTCCCTTCCAGCTCTGTTCTGATGGATTGAAATGGTCTAGGATCTCCTGCTTGAGCAGGGGGTTGGACTAGAGGATCTCCAAGGTCCCTTCCAGCTCTGTTCTGATGGATTGAAATGGTCTAGGATCTCCTGCTTGAGCAGGGGGTTNAAGAAAAAACAAACAAACAGAAAGTCCAGTTGCCTCTTGAAAAAGCACTTTTGGGACAACCATGACTTTGATGATGGAGAATCTCCATAGAAAGAAGAGGACACCCAATAGCAAAGAAGAAAAAGAGTTACAGTGGTGATGAGGACACAGTTGGAAGACTTGAAGGACCAGGTTCTCCTGGAGAACATCTATTTATATGGTTCCCAAGAGCTGATTAAAGTAACTATGAAGTCAGAAGACCATGTAAATCCATGTTTTCAAGGAACCTTATAAGGTTGTATATGCAAAGCTGTGTGCCAGAACCTCATAGCCATCTCCAAGCCAACATGGGACAACCCAACAATGAAAGGAACAAGACATGTCCGTAGCAACCAGGCGTGGCCAACAGGATCTGGCAAGGTCCCACTCCTGGCCATATCATTAAGCAAGAATGCTGTGGTGACCAAGAACCCACAATGGCTGGGGAATTCTGGGAGTTGAAGTCCGCCCATCTTCTAGTTGCCAAGGTTGAAAAACACGGATTTAAGGGCCAACTTTGTGTCAGAGAAAAAGAGGGTGAACATTATTCTGGAGCTGGAATATTTATGGATGAATTTAAACAGCCTCTGCTGTGGGCTGGAGAAGAGATGAACAGAAAGAGGCTACACAGGAGAAAAATAATAATTTATTAGGCCATTTGTACTGTTGTTGGGAGAATCAAGGAACTGTCTGTTTAATTTCCACTATTTTTCTGTCAGGAAATTCCTCCTTAGAGGAAAGAAGGAAGGAAAGAAGGAAGAAAAAAGGAAGGAAAGAAGGAAGAAAGGAACCATCCATTTAATTTCCATTATTTTTCTGTCAGGAAATTTCTCCTTAGAGGAAGGAAGGAAGGAAGGAAAGAAGGAAGAAAAAAGGAAGGAAGGAAGGAAGGAAGGAAGGCAGGCAGGCAGGCAGGCAGGGTCTAATTTCCATTATTTTTCTGTCAGGAAATTTCTCCTGAGAGGGAGGGAGGAAAGAAGGAAGGAAGGAAGGAAGGAAGGAAGGAAGGAAGGAAGGAAGGAAGGAACCGTCCATTTAATTTCCATTATTTTTCTGTCAGGAAATTTCTCCTTAGAGGAAGGAAGGAAGGAAGGAAGGAAGGAAGGGTTTAATTTCCATTATTTTTCTGTCAGGAAATTTCTCCTGAGAGGGAGTGAGGAAAGAAGGAAGGAAGGAAGGAAGGAACCGTCCATTTAATTTCCATTATTTTTCTGTCAGGAAATTTCTCCTTAGAGGAAGGAAGAAAGGAAGGAAGGAAGGAAGGAAGGAAGAAAGGAAAAAAGGAAGGAAAAAAGGAAGGAAAAAAGGAAGGAAGGAAGGAAGGGCTTAATTTCCATTATTTTTCTGTCAGGAAATTTCTCCTGAGAGGGAGGGAGGGAAGGAAGGAAGGAAGGAAGGAAGGAAGGAAGGAACCATCCATTTAATTTCCTGAATCCTTCCATCTTTTAAACAAGCATCTAATGGAAAGAGTTGCCTTGAATCTGATATGGGTAAATAAATTGGATAGTAATAATAATATTAGCCATGGGTGCAATCTCAAAACAACTGGAGCACCACTTGAAAATCACCGGCATTGACAAAATCAACATTGTCAATTGCAAAAGGCAAAAAGCTTGACTCTGAACAGCTTACATCTTGTGACATTCAAATAAAATCTGACTACCTCAGGTCCTTGGGAAGCACTCGATAGCTGGACAAAAATAACAAATTCAGTCTAAACATCTGGATTATGCAATGAATAACAACAACAACAACAAAGTACTGGAACTTGCAAATTGAAGTTGAGCGACTGTGGAAAAAGAAATTGAGTGTTGTCCCGATTGTAATTGGAGCCCTTGGAGCAATACACATGGCCCACAAACAAGGCCCACAACACACCTGACATAACAATAGTTGAAAAGAAAAAAGTATG